CTAACATTTACTAAATCCCAGATACTATATGAGACATGTTCTATCTTGTCTCCTTGTATATACTGAGCTTAGGAATAAATTTTGTTTCTCTTAGAAACATTACGATGCTGTCTACGGGAGGTGAATCCACAATAGGAGCTCAGGAAAATTTTTCTCAGATAAAAATACTCAATGCTTTCTTATGGATGACGTAGGCACAGCTCAGTTGCCTAAGCAATAAACAATATAGTCAGATAGGCTATAATCTACACATGGATACATCAAACCTTTTCAATACCTAAACACTATATACTAAAAAGGGAATATAAGACATTAAAAGATTGCACAATTCTTTTGTGATCTATGCAATATTGAGGACACTAAGTACATTAGTAAGAGCATCAGTGAACAAATATATCTACTGAATAGAACAAACAGGCGCCCAGTCCCATCACAGCATTCCTAATGTACTAAAATGTACACAGAAACACTAAAATCATTAAGGTGTTCTCAGGTTACCTGTCAGCTCTGTGCTGTAAGATGAACTGCCTCTTCGGGTTAACACTGTCTTAATAGATTGTTTATAAATGCTTCCTCTGCAAACTTGGAATAACACTTTGCTCATCAGCACATTCACTGTACAAACTGACACCAAAATACAGATATTTTTCTACATGTGTACTAAATTATGCATACAAAAACAACACATTCATTTTTGTGTATATAAGAATAAATCTAAAGACATGCCTGTAAGCTAGATAGCTTAAAAGTTTTAAAATCTCTGCGAGATACAACACAACAAAATTTAAGAACATAACAGAAGAACTAAAAGTAGAAACTATCTAAGTGTAGTACTCAAAACAGAAAGGATTCTAGAAAATTATTATACCATTAAGGTAGCAAACAATCTAAGGAATTCATGCTATGTTTTCAAAACCAAAAACATTCCATGAAGAAGAAGAAAAAAACAAATCAGTTACAGAAACCTGGACTCTATTAGAAAGAAATTCTCGATTTCACCCTCTGTTTCCTTTATAAATTGACATAATCTGACATAAGATGAAAGAAATGGAAAATATTAGCAAAAAAATGTGATTAAAGAATATGGCGATCAGAAAATTGTTACACTATTGGTGTCAACTCTAAAAATAATCTAAATATAAGCCACAAAACACTGTCAAATGGAAACACTTCCCAGGCCCAGCTGTTCACAAGTCTTAAGCACACTGTCCTCAGGGGTCAACGGGCAGTGAGTGAACAAGTGTTTATGAGTTCCAATTAGGAAGTGCGTTGATATTTACACTGGATCATTTTATTTCACATGAAATTTTACACCATTTATGATTTTTCCTCACAAAAATAAAGGCAAACTAGACTGACCACTATGAAATTCTGGATTGATGAAATCTAAAGTAATGAGGTTTAACATTGCCTTTTAAGTCATGGTTTCATGTTCCACAAAAGAAATTTCAGAATACTACTTTTCAACTGTGCACACACATATGATCCAATTTATGGCACATAATAGAAGCTTCCTTGAAGGACTTGAAGCTTTCAATGCAAATGCATATATGTCTGCTGAGCTACCTTCCCGTTCTAAAACTAAAATAACTTGAAAAAATAATTGCCCAGAAGCACTCTAGAAATGTTGAGCTTTTCCTAGAAACTGGGCAATGGTGAACAAATTTAAAACTAGAAATTTAGATCACTCACCTATAAATTTAGTTTTCAAGTCCAGTGGTTAATGCTGTGTTTTTAAGTTTACGTTTTAGAATGGAAATGTCAATAGCATTTATTAGCATGTTGGACTGAACGATCTGAGTTACTGGGTCTGGACCTCTGCATAATGGGTTGGTTCTGCCTCTCTCAGTAAGACTGGCAGTAACTTAGGAGTTTTTCTCTACACAACTTCTAAATAGTGGTTGTTAATATGATGTACGGATCTCTAAGGTTCCCATACATCTTTAATGTTTAGATGACAATTTCAATTTCAGAGAGTCTAGCTAGAATCTCATGGAATTATACCAACTCCAAGTAGAAATCCCAGTCCTCTCACAATTACTGAAAGTGTTGATTGGTACTTATATGTCTCTGCCTGCTACCCAATGGGGAAATGGGAAAACTTTTCCTTTCACTGGTAGATACAATCTTTCAAAATGAGGTTCACTGGTGAAAATTTAAAAAATACTGGTAACAGAAAATACTGAAAACTACTGTTCAAAGATCATTAAAAATAACAAAGAAAACGAAAACCATAAAAGTTATAAAAAAACATAAATCCAGTCAAGCTTCAACCCCGACATTTTCTACAAAGTCCTGAAGAATGTGGCCGCTCCAGGCACTCACTCCACCCTGCCTGTGCTGATTCCTTTCTGGTTCCTCCCAAACTCCTTCCCACCAAGGCCTTTGCCCCTGCTGGTCTCGCCCCTAGAATGTTCTTAATTCCTTGTCCAGAACCTCCTTAATCCTTCAGTTCTCAGGTTAAAGGTGACGCCCTCAGGAGAGCTTTGCTCTTTATCAATTTCCCACTGCTCACTTCCCTCTGGCCCCCATCTGTTGAATGTATCCTTCATTGTATTTACTGGACTTAATTCCACATTATATCGCAACTGCAATGAAGTAACCATGTGTTTGATATTTTTTTCCAATTCTGCACTGTAATCCTCATGAAATTGTGTCTGTATTATTTACTATTTTCTCAATGTCTAGCATATAGCAGGAGATAAGGCATTAAAAGGAATATAATTTTGCAATGGGTTCTTGCAGAAAGTAATGAAAATTAGTCTACCTCACACAAATTCAGGATTCTATCACACATCCTATTACATTCACAAGTCTTTGTGAGAGTTTAACAAATGACGAAGCTGTTGAAAGCAAGATTTTTCACAATCTTCATTCCCAAACATTCTAAACCTTCAACTAGATTGCTAAACTGAGGACATGTAGCGCTATTCCTTGAAAATATTCTTGGAATTCGGTGTGGCAGCTAACTTTCCTGGATGGAAATAAACTGAGGCTCTCTACCAAAGCCAACCAGCCTTGAAATGAATGAGTCATTATAAGAAATTGTGACTAAAAAGGCCACCCAAGAAGTAATAAGAAATTCAATCCATGTTCTCTTAAATTTAGACAATTCACTAAACTTCAAATAAAATAAATGCCTAATGGATAGGACAGGATATGTTAAAAAAAAAAAAAAAAAAAGTCAAAAACTTGGGAGAGATCTGTGAAATTATTATTTCCCAAGATAATTATAAGTTTTGAGAGTGTTATATAAAAATCCAGATTTTGGTAAAAAAAAGTTTTAAAACTTTGGAAGCAAAGATTCATGTAAAATAATGTCACAGCCATTTGGAATTTGGTATAGATTTATATAAATTTACAATATACTGAATCTGTTATCTGAAATCATTGTCAATTCTTAAGGAACTTTAATGTAGAACATGTATGATTTAAATATCCAATGTAAGAACTTTTTCTTTTTTAAAGAGAGAATACTTACTTTCCAAAAACCTTCAATTCAATAAATACATAACAAAGGGGGGGGGTGATATGAAGAAAAATAAAAAATTTCACCTGATATTAAGACCAAGGAATTTAAGAATAAGAAGCAAACTGTTTATTTTCTATTCTCTCACTTACCAACCCAAGACTTTCAGGAAGGAAAACTGAGAGGATGGAAATCTATCATCACCTCATTCTTTTTTACCTTACTGCTTTGATGGTAAGGGGGTGGGTGGGTGGGTGTGTGAGCGTGCACAGTGGTGAATGGGGAAAACTAACATTTGTTTTGTGCCTAGTATGTTATGTGCCTACTAACACTATACCTGTCTCATTAGACTTACTCCTAACAACTAAGCCATCTGCAGATGAAGTTCACAGAGGTCAAGTGACCGGCTAGAGGTCAGGTGGTTTTAATTCCAGGGCTACCTAGTGCCCCTTCTACAAAACTACATTCCCTTAGTTTTCCTCGTTCCATCAAAAATAGTAACTAGCGTGATTTCCCCGTTCTTTTCTTTCCAGTGTTCTAGCCAATGAATTTTCTTTCTCACTCTCTCTGAGATTAGCTTTCACACCTTGCTTCACAACTTAGAAACTAAGGGAAGCAGCTGTCTTCTCTACCACATTCCAAATGAAACTTTTAGGGAGACAGTGTTTATTCCAAACCTACCACAGCTGAGAAGGGACAGTTGGCATTTCCCTTGGTCATTTCCAGTGCCTAACATTCTCTCACACCGGGACGTTCTTGACAATTGTCTCATTAATATAATTAAAAAATCCAATTTTAATTTTAAATGGTCAACTTAGATAAATTATTATTGAATACTGAGATAATTTAAATGATTGTTTTGATATATCCTTGTACTCAAAATTCTCTTAACTTTTCCCAGCACAGTACCCCTAATAACAGAGGGGAATGGCCAAGATGCCAACACACACAAGAGATTTCACTGAAGTCTTGCATTTTATCTTAGAGATTCAGTTACATTGTGCATTCTATTCCGCTTAATAGCTTTGATTTTTGCCCCCACCCTTCAGATTCTAAACATTAACAATCTGGAAAACATCTCATATTTATTTTATAGTGTCTCAGACAGCCCTCAGAGTACTCCTGGTGGTATGACACTCTATTCTCCGAGACAAATGGTAATATGGTCTTTAACACAGTACTATGAAATGGTAAAATGTGGACAATAAAGCTTTAAATTGATATACTATATTTCAATAACTGACAGATTTTTAAAAAGTTAATATTGTTTGTGTCTCAATATTATAAAAGTGAAAATCAGTATTTCCTCTACTAAGGAAAGGGAAGTATATGGACTTTATAACAAGTTAATACATTTTAAATTATTAGACTCTAAAACTGATCTAATTTTGTCAAATTTATGTACATGCTACTAACTGTTCGGTCTTTCTACTATATCCCAAACTCAGATAACAGGTACTCAAAGAAACATTTCATTTCATTTTTTTTTTTTTTAGGAACTATAAAATGCATGGTATAAAGTGAAAATTACCTTGTTTATCTATAACTGAGTATGAGGCCAAAAATCCTCGTCCAGCAATATGGGTTCCACTCATGAACAGCACTGTGATTTCATTGCTTTTTGATTCGATTGAATGGTTCATATGCAATCCCAGACCACAGTATTTGCCTAGGAATAAAAGAAAAGCTGGTATTTGTTGTGACTCTCATGAAGTCAATAATGGTTACAATGTAGACAATAGATTCAGATTAATGTATCAAACTGCTTGTTAAATAGTGTAGTAGGATAACTAGGATGTTTAGTGATTAAAAATCTCATTACTCTGGAAGGAAAAATAAAAAATACAAAAGCTAAGTAATAACTGTTCAAATGATTCAAAAGAAAAAACAGTACAAGCACCATTGACTTTCTGAAGATTCAATTTCCTATGAAATACATGTGCATGCTCTTTAAAATAATAGCAAGGAATTTTTTTTTATCCTCACCTGAGGATATTTTTGCATTTATCTTCAGATAGAGCGGGAGGGAGAGAGAGAGAGAGAAAGATCAATGTGAGAGAGACGCATGGACTGACTGCCACCCACACGACCCCAACCGGGGCCAGGGAAGAACCGCAACTGAGGTATGTGCTCTTAGCAGGAACCAAACCTGGGACTCTCTGGTCCACAGGCCGACACTCTAACCACTGAGACAAACCAGCCAGGGCAGCATCAATTTTTTTAAAAACTAAAGCATTGCCCTGGCCGGTTTGGCTCAGTGGCTAGAGCATCAGCCCGTGGATCAAAAAGTCACAGGTTCAATTCTGGTCAAGAACATGTACCTCGGTTGCAGTTCGGTGTCTGGCCCTGGTTGGGGTCGTGCAGGAGGCAACCAGTCAATGTGGCTCTCTCATATCAATGTTTCTCCCTCTCTGTCTGTCTCTCTCCCACTCATCTGAAGATAAATGGGGGAAAAAAAGAAAAAGCCAAAAAAATTAAAGCACTTGATGCAGGCAGGTGGCCCACAAATAAATTGACAGTCAATATCAGGAGCATTCTTAACATGCTCCCCACAGGGTGCCCCTAGATTCCTGGCCTCAGGGTACCTCTCAAACCCTTTATGAATCTTCTCAATTTTTCTTCCAAAGACTGTTGGACTTCTGGTCAATCTCTTTAGGTGAGCACTTATACCGAAATAAAAAAATTAACCCTCAATTCAGTCTATAATTTCTCAATTTATTTAGCATTTGATAAATAAATACCAAACATCAATGTTAACATACACATTGGTCTTAGATGCTATGGTTTTCAATATAAAATATATGTCTTGCTCATCTGTGCAGAAAAACACCTTCTATTTCTAAATATGGAAGGTAATTATAGCTATCAACATTTTTAACATTCAAGCAAAATAACACATTATTAAAGAACACTACAAATTATTTGGTGAATATACAAGAAGATGATAAAATCTTCAGACTTAATAACAAGTAACTAAGAGACTAGTAAAGAGAATAAATATAAACTATTGTATTCCTTTTGAACATAAAATATTTAAAAACAGAGTAATACATATTTCACATTATTCCAATTATTAGCTCAAATATTAATAATATAAAAAACTATGTAATTTGTTAGCAAACCCAAATGTGCAGAGCCAGTGCCCATCACATTAAATCTTATAGCTCAATGGGAACAGGTAAAGGCAAGAGAAATTGTGTCAATCAGCATCTTTACACAATATTAGCTTTTGTAAAAGTGAACAACAGTTTCATCTGGGCTCATCAGTACTAGCTGTTCTTTGCCATGTAAGGACCTATGTATGTGTAATTTTATTACGAGGCTGATTACGGCGCTCAGTACAAACACTGACTTTTCATATTCTTTTAGGTACAAAGAAAAAGATCATACTTAAAGAATATTTAGCATGCCATACAAAAATGTCTTTATAAAAAAGTATATTATTAATGTAAAACAATATTTAAAAAATCTTCTTAACCCTTTAAATATGAACAGAACCGTAAAAGTATTTTTTATTAGCATGGCAGTTTCACCTTGTGTTTATTTGTTTGTTTATCTGGAGTTATCTTGTCCTCCAAAATGTGAGTAAATTCAATCTGTGGTAGAAACAAAACATTTTTTAAAACTACTTACGTTTTGTGAAACTCAAAAGGCCGTGCTCAAGAATGGATAATCACAATTTAAAAAACAGAAGAAAAAGCAAAGTACAATAGCTGACCTTGTAGGTGCTTAAATGAGTTCAAAATATATAAGATAAACACCTGCCTTCATCTGCTATTCAGAGCCAAGATAACTCTTCTCACTTGGCTCTCCTTTGATCATAGGATTCACCCATTATACAAATAATGCAAGAGCCTGGCAAAATACTCTGGGAAAGGAAGAAGAAAAACCATTCCTAATCTGGGCAACACAACTGTTAATTCTTTAATACTATTTCCCCAGTTTGGCTCAATCAAATTGTTGGCATTTCATTGCCAACAATTATAAATTCCGTTGATGGCTCTCAAAGTCAGTCAGAATTTCTAGAGTTTCTCAAGAATAAATAAGGGAGATAGTTTAAAAAAAGTTTGTGACTACATACAGAAAACTACAAACATAAAAGTTAAGTATCTTAATCACCATAACACCCAGGAAACACTGGTTTATAGTTTAAAAGAATCCAACCATGCTCCAGGAAAATAAAAATGTTTAAAATTTTTTAGCCCTTGGGGGGGGGGGGGGAATAAATCCAAAGTAAATAGAAAAAAAATAATTAGAGCAGAAACCAGAAAATAAAAAAATTAATGAAAGCAAAAGCAGGTTATCTGAAAAAAAATTGATATGCCTCTAGTAAGGCTAAATAAGAAAAAGAGAGGACACAAATCACTAATATCAGAAATGAAGGTAGGGACGCATCACTACAGATCCCATGAACATCAAAAGGATAATAAAGAAATCTATGAACAATTTTGTGTCCAAAAATTTGATAACCTAGATGAAATGGACAGGTTCCTTGAAAGACACAATTTGCCAAAGCTCAAACAAAAAGAAACAGGTGATCTGAACAAGCCTATATCTAAGAAATTAAATCAATAATTAATAATACTTCAACAGAAAAAGCACCAGGCACAAACAGGTTCACTGGTGAATCCCACCAAACATTTAAGGAGAAAATTATACCAATTCTCTACAATCTCTTTCAGAAGATAGAAGCAGACAGAATATTTCCTAACTTATTCTATGAGACCATCATCATCCTAAAACCAAAACCAAAGACATTACAGGAAAACTACAGACCAATGTTTCTCATGAAAACAGATGCAGAAATCCTTAATGCAATATTAGAAAATCAAATCCAATGATGTATAAAAAAAATTATACAGCACACCAGGTGTGATTCATCCCACACATGCAGGTTGCTTCAATATTTGAAAATCAATTAATGTAATTCATCATATTAGCAGGCTAAAAAAAAAATCATATGATCAAATCAACTGATACAGAAAAAGCATTTGACAAAACCAACACCTACTCATGATAAAAACTCTTAGTAAACTAGGAATAAAGGGGATCTTCCTCAACCTGATAAAGAATATTTAGAAAAATGCTACAGCTAACATAATACTTAACAGTGAGAAATTTAAAGCTTTCTCAATAAGATCAGGAACAAAGCAAGGTCGGCTTTTACCATTCTTTTAACATCATACTGTAATTATTAGCTAACACAATAAGACAAAGGAGGAAAGAGCATACAGATTGGAAAAGAAGAAGTAAAACTGTCTTTGTTCACAAATGACATGATCATCTATGTAAAAAATCCAAAAGAATTGACAAAAAAAACTCCTGTAACTAATAAGTGATTATAGCAAGGGTTGAAGAATAAAAGGTTAGTATGTAAAAGTCAACTGCTTTTCTACATATAATCAATAAACAAATGATATTTAAAATTTAAAACACAATACCATTTACATTAGCATCCCCCAAAATGAAATACTTAGGTATAAATCTAACAAAATAATGCATAAGATCTGTATGAAGAGAACTAAACTCTGAAGAACAAAACCAAAGGACTAAATAAATGGAGAGACGTTCCATGTTCATGGAAAAGAAGACTAAATATTATCAAGATATCAGTTCTTCCCAACTTGATTTATAGATTCATAAAACCCAAAGCAAATCCCAGTAAGATATTTTGTGAATATTGACAAACTTAAAGTTCATATGGAAAGACAAAAGACTTGGAATAGTCAACACAATATTGAAGAAGCACAAAGGTGGAGGATAAACAATATGTTCAAGACTTACTATATAAAGGTACAGTAATCAAGACAGTGTGGTATTGGTGAAAGAACTGACAAACAGATCAATGGAACAGAACAGAGAGCCCAGAAATAGATCCACATAAATACAGTTAATTATCTTTCACAAGGGAACAAAGGTAATATAATGGAGCAGTCTTTTCAACAATTGGACATCCACTTGCAAAAATATGTATCTAGACAGACCTTACACCCTTCACAAAAATTAACTCAAAATGAGTCATAGACTTAAAGGTAAAATGCAGAACTATATATCTTCTAGAAGTTAACATAGTAGAAAATCTGGATGACCTTGGGTATAATTATGACTTTTTAGATGTAACACCAAAGGCACAATCCATGAAATAAAGAATTGATCAGTTGGTCTACAATAAAATAAAAAATCTCTGCTCTGCAAAGGACAATGTCAAGAGAATAAGACAAGCCACAGACTGGGGAAAAATATTTGCAAGAGACATATCCAATAAAGAATTCTTATCCAAACTATATACAGAACTCTTAAAACTCAACAATAAAAAAACAAAACAAAAACAACCTGGTTTAAAAATAAGCCAAAGATCTAAACAGAGACTTCAACAAAGACATACAGATGGCAAATAAGCATATGAAACGATGTTCTATACCATATGTCACCAGGGAAATGCAAATTAAAACAATGACATAATGCATCTATTAGAATGGCCAAAATCCAGAACACTCACAATACCAACTGCTGGCAAAAATGTGGATCAACAGGAGCTCCCATTCATTGCTGGTGAACAAGCCACATGGTACAGCCACTGTGGAAGACAGTGTGGGGTTTTCTTTGGCAACTAAACAGTCTTGCGGTACAATCTAGCAATCGCACTCCTAGGTCTCTCTACCAAAGAAG